ACCTGACTTGATAAGAATTAAATGGAATATCAAACTTTACCCGCTCCATCAAATCCTGGAATCTCAAGAGTCAAGACAGGTATGCAATTTGAGTTTGTTAATTAATTAACTCATATTGCATGAAAAATTTTAATTTCTAATTTTATACAAGTTTATTGCCCCGAGAGGGAGATCAAATCAGCCAAATTAAGCAATGAGAAAGAAAAGGCTTATTCAGTTCCATGAGCCTGAGGCCCAAAGAACCATCAGATCCGATTGATTGGAATTTGGGCGGGGAGGGGGGGGGGGTGTGTTTGAGATGCAATGTTTTGAAAATCGTAATCTTATTTTAAATTGTAAAAAATAGAATCGAATCGAATTGTATTGTAAATGGTAAAATTGTTCCATTTTTTTTTTTACAAATTATCAAAAAATTAAATATATATAGGAAAAGTTAGTTTACCCTATTTTTTATGTACTTAAAACAATAAAATTTACCACTTTTTTAAGGCAATAGCTAATTTCATTAAAAATGCTCAGAATCTCAAATATAATCTATGAGAGTACAATCAATAATAGTAGACAAAAAAATGCAAAGATAAACCCAAACCAAATCGAATTCAGACAAAAAAAATGCTCAGAATTCAGACATAAAATTCGAATCAAAACTCTTGAGATTCATGATTCAAATCGTGAATAATATCATAAATAGAAAGATTTTGACAAAATTGTTGAAAGTGTAAAAAACAGAGGTAAAACGTGTTTGTTGAAAGTTGAAACACCTTTTTTTCGTTCGAACATTTTCACAAACACCCTCTTAAGTGTTAATGATTAGATTAGGTTGGAATAAATGGTCCAAAACTTGTCGTTGCAATGACATTATATTGTTGGATGGGTCTAAGTCCGAAAGAATCAAAGAGATAATTGTTTTCAATATTATAATGAATCTGAATAATTAGTAGAGAGTGGAGAGAGAGTTATGAAGCGAAAACGTCCAAAATCGTGACCCTTCTTCACGCTTCTACATATAGTGTTTGTAAGGACTAAGAAGCACGGGGCTGGATTAAAATGGGGGGAATGGGACCCGTTAAAACAGTGTGTGTTGTGTCTTCATCTAAAGATCTCAACCAAATTATCCATCTCTGCAAGTCAACCCCATCACATGATTGGTATCGTCTATGTCTCCGACTCGCTCTCTTCTCAACATAAACAAGTAACAAATCTATTCTTCGTCTCTGGCGAAGGGAAGGAGGGAAGGACACTCCCACTACGTCTACGTCCATTCATTCATGCTTCCCATTTTCCTTAATTTCTCACCACCATTCACTCTCATCAAATGCATCCATGTAACCACCAGGCTCCAGACTCCAGTTTAGTGGATGGGCAATGGGCCTGCGGCAGGCGGCAGCCGGCAGCGGTACACAATTTCTGATTTTTCAATCCTGTAAGGACGCATTTAAAAAGGTGGGATTACATTGTCCCAACCCAACCCAATTAACCTTTTAAGCCTTACAAAGTAAGAATGGCAATAGGGTTAGTTTGGGGTGGGGATTATATTCTTCATCCCTGCGCTTTTGATTCTGAAATTAATTCTATCCCGTTTTTTGACCCTCGCCGGGGATAAAATTTGTCCTTCATCTCTAATTCCCGATGAAGATGGATTTTCCGTGGGATCCAAATCCTTGACTTTTTTTAGATAATAGTATTTTTTTGAAAAATAAATAAGTTTTAAATATATTTTGATATATATAAAAAATATATATTTAATATAAATAACATTTAATATATATATATATATATAATCGGGATCAGGGTGGAGAAATCGGGAATTTTTATTAATCTTCGTCCTCGTCCCCGCCCCACCAAAACAATCCCCATCCCCAACCCTGTTGGGTTGAGGAAATCGGGGGATGGGAATGTTACAAAGACATATACATGGCTGAAATATTTAGAAACGAAAAAGAAAAAAAAAAAGAAATTCTATCCTCCATTTTGTACCAATGCAGCCTTAGAATATGTTGCTTGAGGAATTGGTATTGTTTGTATTATTGTTTTTATTTTTCTTTTTGTTAGTTGTAGGGCCATAATATTCCCCTCTCCCCGAAAAAAAAAAAACCTTAAAAAAAGTTAGAGGTTAGTCAAAGGGTGTGAACAGGTTGGCGAGCCAAACACCTCATAATCAATCCCTCCTCCCACTGCACTGTCGGATGTCCCACATTTTGGAAAGAAGAGGACGGAAACAATTTGGAGATGAAATCTTAGTTTAATTATGGAATAATCTATTCAATCAATTAAACGCTGCTTATGAAATTTATTACTTATTTTCTCTGAATCCTCTGCTCTGATGGAACAGAATGGATATATTATAATTTGTATTTAGGCATTAAATTAAAAAAGAAAAATGATAATCACATCATTAATAGGGTAGTTGAATGTTGATGTGGTTCTATCACATAAGAGCGTAATTAATTCTATCCTCGCTGAGTTCTCTCCCTAAGCAAAGTAATGCTTTTCCGTGAAACCGTGCAATGACAGAGAGAGAGTGAGAGACTATCTTGTCATTATAACTTAAAAAAGAGCAGATAATAATTTAAGTGGATTATGTTAAAAGCAAAGCAATTTTTAAGATGCTAATAATCAGTTCTTAAGCAATAAACGACAACGTGCAAGGATGTGTTGTGTTTGTGGAGTGGCGGTGTCACAGTCACGTGGAGTCTAATGCGCAGAAAGCGATGTGTTAATGTCTGGGCCTGAACCGTGTCCATTCCTCTTCATTCACTACTCATTCATCTCACATTCTCATCTCATCCATCCCTCCATCATCATCTCTCTCTAGATGTTCATATGATCTGAATCATCTGAAGCATCTGAACTGAATATAAAGTTAAAGATAAAACAAATTAGAAAAGAAGAAAAAGTTGAATGAATGGTGGGACCATCCCTCTCTCACCATTCTCCTTCATTGCTTCATCCATTTCTCGTCCTTCTTCTTTGTTTTTCACTACTCCTGTAATTCAACTTTCCATTCTCTTTTTGTAAAGCCCCTCTCTCTCAAGTTTCAGGCTCTCAGCCGCTCGGCCTGCGTGTGACAAATAAACACAGAGACTCTCTCTCTCTCACTCTCTCTCAGAGATTAGGGTTGGTTGTAATGTGGAGGAGGCTTTAGATAGAGAAAGGATCAAGGACCACCACCACCATTCAATGGGTCCCACTTGTAAGTAAAAGGATTAAAGACCGTAGCATATCACATGGCTAGAATTCATTTCATCATATAACAATGACTTTTTGTTGTTTTGTTTTAACTTTTTACTTTTATCGCCAAGTGAAGCTACACAAACTCTGGAATCGATCTTGACCATTCGGTAGGTGAAGGTGAGTCGTAAATCGTGATCGTAATCCATGAGCAGATGATGAGATTGGGGATTATTAGCATTTTCATAAATCAAGCGGAAACGGAGTAAAGAAATCGGTGCACGTGGACCACACAATAATCCAGGTGGGCCACAGCGTATCTATTAATGGTGGGACTCTTAGCAGCTCTGTACGTCGACGACCGTGCCTGCTGCAGTGTACCCTATCAATTTCCGACGTAGAAAGGTTCTGATCCAACGGTATTGGCCTATGGAAGATTACCTTGCTTTCCTCGCCAGTCGCCACTGGCTCTTCTTCAGTCTTCTCTTTTTTGCTTTAATTTTACAGTTTTTCGTTTCAGAATCTGTACACCTGATGGGTGAGCGCTGATTAGGACCTAGGACTAGGAGGCATTGACTTCACAGCACAGGCAGTGGCCCATATTCACAAGCGTCAATCAATCTATATCATATCATCTCTATTATGCTTATTTAATCTAATCTATGCATCTACGGCTGGGACACACCTTTTCCTCCTTCACGCTTACGCAACGCCCTTGATTACATGAAATTATCATTTATATATTCATAGCTTGTTTGCTTTGAGGTGGACACAAAATCAAAATACAACCGTCTGGACATTGGATATGGGCCCACAGGTAGTGGGCCACGTTGGGAAGTGGGTTGGCATTTACATCGAGTGGATCAGACGATTTGATTTCACGAATTAAAATCATACATTGGTCCACCACCTACAGGCTACAGTACTCACTACTCGCTGCGCCTGCCGCCTGCTATTAAGTATTGACACCAACAATGAGCATATCATCATCTTTTCTTTTCCCATCCCCTCATCTGCAGTCCCACTTCTGTTCTGTAAATGATAAAAAATCCAATCCTGCCTTCGGTCCTCTTCATGGTTGGTTCGTGCTGAACCGGCCAATAGAACGAGGCCGGAATCTCCCAACTAATCCTCCTCGACCTCGAGGAGAGTTGCAGAGAAAGAGTGAAAACTGAAAAGAATTCTTTTATTTATTCTATTTGTTTTGGGTCCACCGTCCACCGGAGCTCCGACTGGCCGACTCGGCGACTCCGTAAGCCCAAACAAGAAGGAAGAGACGACATACACATACGCTCCAGTTGTTGATGCGAAACCCCACGTGCCTACATGAATTGACAAAAACACCCTCCTCGGCCAACGTATCAACATCTCTCTCCAGTGCTTCTCCATTAAAAAAAGCTTAGTTGGAAACCATGTGACTGGGACAGCCTTTTTTTTTTTTTTTTTAATTTATATGTGAAAAGAGTAGTTGATGACGATTTGCCATTTTTCCCAATTACATTTACTGGGTTGGGTCCAAACCACAACTCGGCCCAGAGCCGAGTAAGCAGTTGGGACAACACGATCAATTGCCAAGTTCCAGCTCATAATGCTCCCTTTCCTTTCCCAAACTGGGTCTTGCCTTCTCCAGAACCAGAAACCTCTTTCTTCAAGTTGCATCCTCTCCATATTTCCTGCATTGTTCGGGGTATTTTTCGTTATTTCATTAGCAAAAGAAAAGAAAAATATACAAATAATTAAATTATATTATATTATATATATATATATATATTTAAAAAGAGAGAAGCGCATGTTAATTCATGATGGGAGCCCCGCCGGCCCGGATTTGGGGCCTTAGGGGGGTCGACCGATAAACTAAAGTGCGCCAAGATGCGCATGCTTTTTATAATTACTTCCTTCTTTTCTTTTATTTTATTTTCCTTGCATTTTGATTTCTCGAATAACATCTGTCACGGTGTCACACCACCTCCCTCCTCTCTCTCTCTCTCTCTCTCTCTCTCTCTCTCTGAAAACGCTTTTTTAAACGCTTACGGTTTACGATTTACGAAGGAGATGAAGAAACAGTGAATACTGAACTCTCTCTCTCTCTCTCTCGTTCGCATCTTCGAGTTATCCAAAATTTTCTAGACTTGTAATTTTAACCTCAAAACCTTCTTGTTCTTCTTCGGTTTCGCTTTATTCGATGACCGTTCAGCTCGAAATCTCGTCGTCTTCTACCGTGGGTTTTGTTGTTTTATTTCACGCCCATCGAGGAACGCAGGGATTAGTGTTAGGGTGTTGCATTCAAGTTTCCCGCTCTGAAAAGGAATGAAAATTTTCTCAAGGTCTCTGATCTCTCTTTAACGCCGGCCTTCATTTTTATTTCTTTTCCCGTTATCTCAGCACCACCACCTCTATAATCTCTTTTTCCTCAACAATTGTGGTCGTTATTATTGCTTTAATTTCTCCTTCTTCTTTTCTGGATGGCTTCCAGTGCTATCTCGTTTTCCAGAAAGAAAAGATGAATACCAGAGTCCGGACGACGTTGCAGACCATGAAAGCTCCAATGAAGCATGAAAAAGTAGGCACCTTTGATGAAAATCCGAACTGGGTTTCTGTTATTCATTGAAATAAATGGTTGCCTTTATACTGGAGAAGCTCCACACTGTGATAGCTCTTCTATGACTCGATTGAGTTGCCAGCTCTGGTGAAATTCCGATATGGGTTTCCGGCTTTGCTTGAAAATATAGTTTCGTTTTAATGGAGAGGTCTCAGAAGGTTAAAGCTCAGAGAAAGTATGGCAAAGTATGCATCTCTGAAGAGAGCCTCGGATTGGTTGTTATAATTATTGAAAATTTGGCTTCCTTTCTTAGCCATCGTCTCTGTCTTTATCGATGAGATATGCCTGTGATTTCTCTTATCTATTTTCTATAAAAAGTAAAAGCTGAATTTTTTTTTTCTTTTCCTTTTTCTTGTTCTTGCATATTTGTAAGCTCTCCTTCCAGCTCAATAAAGTAGGCACCCATAACCGAAATCAGAATAGCTCTCGGTTTTTCTTTTTACAATTTCTAGCTTCTTTTTTTCTGGAGTGATCGAGAGAGTGATTAGTGGTTTCTTTTTTTCTGGATTTTCCTTTCTGAAGAAGGAGAAGATGGAATTGCAGGCAAGCAGATTAATGGATTCCGAGAAACCAACAGTAAATCGACGCCGCTCAAGCAGAGAAAGGAAGATGGCATTACTACAAGATGTATATATATTCTTTCTCTTGAAACCAAGACTATTTGGATTTCACTTCGTCCTTTGTTATTATTATTTTTCTTCCATTGCTTTTCTTATCGCTCTGTTTTAATTTAAAATTTGCAGGTCGATAAGCTAAAAAAGAAGCTCAGACATGAAGAGAATGTTCACAGAGCCTTGGAGAGGGCTTTCACAAGACCTTTAGGAGCTCTACCTCGTCTTCCTCCTTATCTCCCTCCATATGTTAGTACTCATTCATTAAATTCTGTCTTTTCCTTTTATCCTTTGGTCTTTCCCCTCAATTTTACACCAGAAAGGAAACTATTAGAATAAGAAATGATGATTATCACAGAACTGAATGAGGAAGGACGAATGACATTAATTGGGACAACGAAACAAGATAAAACTCAAATTGTGCTGGAAACACTTTAAATCAATCCTAAAACAACCAAACATCATGTTCTTATTCACACGAGTCTCAAGGTACATTCTTCGTTTTTTCTTTCAGACATTGGAGCTTCTTGCAGAAGTAGCTGTTTTAGAAGAGGAGGTTGTTCGGCTTGAAGAACAGGTTGTGAATTTCAGACAAGGTCTCTATCAGGAAGCTGTCTACATCTCATCCTCGAAGAGGAACACAGAGAGTCCGAAAGATTTATACGAGCCATACTCATGCAGAAACCCGAAAATAGAACAAGTCAAGGCTTCATCACAAGCTGATACCAATTTGGCGACATCCATCGCAAGGATTCTACCTTCTATTCCAGGCAATTCTTCGGCTTCGACCCAGTTGGCCTCTGAGCCTATTTCCGATCGAACAGCGCATTGTTCTATTCGGCCCTCAAATGGGAAACAGCCCTCGAAGAAAGCTCATCCTTCATCGGCTTTTTCAGAAGATGCGCGGGGAAAAGAGAATCAGTCCTGCACTAATTCGTCAAAGAACAACAAGCAATCCCCAAAAGATAGAGACACAAAAATCAGAACCCCAGTGAAGAGGCCCCCCATTGAGAATAGATCAGTAGAGAAGCGTTTGGATCCTCTGAAGCTACAGGTATGTATTTGCCATTTCCAGTGCAGAAACACTTCCCAGATGCCTTCTAGTGCCACAGTAAATTTGAGCATGAGTTTCTAAATATCCAGCTAGAATGTGGAGCCATAGAACAAGACACAGAAGAACAAAGCGCATCAGTTGTTCCTGAAGAAACAGCACCAGAAGGAGAGAGTAACGGTCCTAACAAAATCTCWGAAGATATTTTGAAGTGCCTGTCAAGCATTTTCCTAAGGATGAGCAGGATGAAGAACAGGGGAACGGAACCCGATATGTTGTCTTCCTTGTCAGGATTAACATCTAATGAAACCTATGAAGAACCAGAGTTCAGAGATCCTTATGGTATTTGTTCAGAATTTGGAAAGAGGGATATTGGTCCATACAAACACCTGTTTGTAATCGAAGCTAGTTCAATTGATCCAAATCGAAGAACAAACTCTTTGTTTCTGATCCGGAGACTGAAGTAAGCTATTGGAATTAAAATTCGATTGGTTTATTTCAGTTATGCCATAAAATGCAGCTAGTCATACTTGTGAAATTTTTTTTTTTTAATTTTCAGGCTGCTTCTTGGGAAGCTTGCATCTGTCAACCTAGATGTTCTTACTCATCAGCAGAAGCTTGCATTCTGGATCAACATCTATAATTCATGCATGATGAATGTATGAATGACAATGACCATTAATCAGAATAGTTTCCTCATATGAAGCCAATTAATATATATACTTTTTCATGTTCTTTTCTGCATGTTGTATTGTTCTGCAACGCGTACTTTACTTTAAACTGTATTAAGTGAAATGAGAAAAGGCTATTTACTCTTATATTGGTCCAGGCGTTCCTAGAGGATGGGATACCGGAGAGCCCCCAAATGATCGTTGCAATGATGCGGAAGGTAACGGCTATTGAGCATTCTTTTTGTCATGAAATATTGTTTCGTTACACATACGATACATCAGAAATCTTCTATCTTTTACTTGTTTTTATCCAAGTTCTCTTATTACTGGGTTAAATTGAATTTTGATCACAATGTGAAATTCTTGTATGTTTTACGTTGTTTAAGTTAATGGATGTATGCATCATCATCATCAAATCCTTATCCCAGCTATGTGGGGTTGGCTACACGAATCTTGTTTCACCATTCTGTTCTGTTTAATGCAATATACATTGTTAGGTTATTGGTGCTTAAATGATTTCTTAGTACTTGTACCCATGGTCCTTTTAGGTCTAGCCCTAGCCCTTCTACCCCCTTCAACTCGCAACACATCACTTCTTATGGGTGCTGTTGGTCTTATACCAATGTCCTTTTTCAGTTTATTTTCTCTCATTTTATCACCTATTGGAGCTACTCCTAGATTACTTCGAATGACTTCATTTCTGATCCTATTCTTTCTAGTTTTTCCACTCATCCATCTCAGCATACACATTTGTATCACAACTGTTTTATAAATTTTTCCTTTTAATCTAAGTGGTATTCGCCTATCACATAAAACTCCGGATGCACAGCTCCAAAGTAACTATACATGTTATATGTGGCATGCATGCATGGATGTGGTCTCCATGATTTCTTCATAGGAGGCCTACTAAAACACTCATCCTAGATTCCTAGTAGAATGGTCATAATTATCCAACCTTTGAATTATTATCAGGACCTCTAGTCATATATTTTCATTCACACTCTAGTGGAATACAAAGATATGAGTGCCTAGAAGTTTCTAGTTGTTTACTTCCCTTTCATTTGGTTATTTAAAGTATTTGAACTGTTGGCTATTCAAAATAGATAAATCATAAGTAACAATAAAATGACAAATAAAGAGAAAAGCCAACTGTTATCACTTGGATAAATCATATGGTTTCCTCATCCATGGATGGGTGAAGTATACACAACTTGATATAGATTTCTCCTTATTCAATTTGCTCAAATTGTTCCTTTGTGATGTAAATCTCAGTAAAGGCATCAAGTGATGCATTGTCCTTTTTGTATCTACCAGGCAACAATAAATGTAGGTGGCCACTTGTTGAATGCAATGACAATTGAGCATTTCATCCTAAGGCTACCTTATCACTCAAAATATGTAAGTGCTGTTCATTTAACAAATTCTGTCTGTTCTATAGGTGTGTGGGTAGGGTTGGTAAGCAAGGGGATAAGTGATAATTTCTTTCTACCTTTTTTTTTCCTCTTGGATTTTCCCAGAATATGGAATTCCTAGTGCTGATAAAGTACCCTTTTTTCTTGTGAGTTCTAATCAGACCTATGCAAAAGGTCCAAAAAATGATGAGATGACAGCGCGCAGCATCTTTGGATTGGAGTGGTCTGAACCCTTGGTTACATTTGCACTTTCTTGTGGAAGCTGGTCATCCCCTGCAGTAAGTTCATCCAAGTTAGATTATTCTCCTTGCCATGATTTGAAATGCTTCACTGAAGAATTTTTGTTTTCGATTAAAATGATGCCTGTGTTATTACTAACTCAGAAATAAATGTTGTCAAATGAAGGTGAGGGTATATACAGCATCGCAGGTTGAGAATCAGCTGGAAGCAGCTAAGAGGGACTACCTACAGGCAGCAGTTGGTATATCAACATCAAACAAGTTGGCAATCCCTAAGCTGTTAGACTGGTATCTTCTTGACTTTGCAAAGGACTTGGAGTCATTACTGGATTGGATTTGCCTGCAGCTGCCCAATGAACTCAGGAAGGAAGCAATGAAGTGCCTTGAAAGAGGGAGAATGGAGCCTCTTTCTCAGGTGGTACAAGTAATTCCATATGAATTCAGTTTCAGGTACCTTTTACACAGATAGTTGCTCTGTCATCCTAATGTAATCTTCAGTCTTAAACATTCAAAGGGCTTTGGGATGAAGGGTCTGTACACAGTCAGTCATAGCAAGCATAGAATAAAAGTAAATATAATTTTATCCATTTGTATGTAATTGTCACAGAAATGTTTTTCCTTTTTTCTTCCACGAGGGGTTTTGGGTGTGGCGATTCCTTTATTGTATCTGTTTCTAGGAAGAGCTTTACATGAAAAAGGCAATTTCATTATTTCCTTCTGTGCATTGCTTATGTCCTTTTCAAATACCTATGCTGTTAGTTATGTTAACAGGATTGATTGATTGATTGATTGAAGAAAACAGAAAATGGTGGCTGAGGTCCTACAATGGACTACTGGAAGATGCGCCTTTAAATGATGGAAAGAGGAAGCTGATAAGAAAAAATCACATATTAATGTTTCCAGATCCTGAAACCAAAATATTGTCTGTCAATACAGTACAATTTCTTTCCTGACTATTGGGTGGGGTTGATGAAGGTTGCTTATTAGACTTCTATATACACTGGGTTTGCATTGATTTCATCAGATTGCACATTGAACATGATCTCAGGTTCCAGGTTCTAGTTGTTTTTGAGTGATGGACGTTTGTAAAAATGGCATTAAAAGGGGGCCCACAACAAGAGTCTTTGTTGGAAATCCTGAACGTTTGACAATGGATGCTCATGCTCTGGGCCTCTGGCTCACGGCCAAGAAAAAACAAGAATGCCACCGACTAGGATGACAATGACTAACAGTAGACACTCATCGCCCACTTGGTTTCTGTGTAAATCAAAATGACAGTACTGGAAGAACAGTAATATCTTGCATAGCATTTCCCTTTAATATATTTAATTTGTGCCGACAAAAATTGTGAAGTAAGTTTGTTTTTGAGACTTGAGAATTTCAGAGGAGTGTTGACGGGGGGGAGTGAGTGAAAAAGAAAAAAGAAATTCTGAAATTCTGAAATGATTAATGCCGTCTTAGAGGAAGCATGGGATATGATTTCTTGTAAGTATGAGAAATAAAAGAATCTCGGTACGTATTGGCAAGGTTTATGTGATCATAGGGCCGTTTGATGATGACAGCTGAATTAGCTTAGCTGCTTAATGACTTGTTCACTAATGAACAAGGTATTAAGACATTCAGTTCAGCCTCTTTAGTCATCATCAGATGACCCCTTAGACTAGGAGGGATCTTCAGTTGTGGGATAAAAAAGGTGCCTTCATTTTTAAGCCAATGTCTCTCTAAATGAACCCATGAAATAATTACTTACAAGACAAGAGGAGCCCCTACAATCAAAGTTCAAAGCCTAATTGCGTGAACAATACACAATCAACAACAACAGACACAAACTAACAACAGGACACCAGGCACATACAGACAGCCATCAACATTCAACCACAGTCCTATCTGCTGCAAAAGAAAAGGACACTCTGATGGCCATTCTTGGGGGGACTGCAATAAACAGCACCCGAGTCCATTAATAAACCCCCCACGAGCAGCAGTATGAGCTGCCAAGTTTGCCATTCTGTTGACAAAACCAAAAAGAGATGCGAAGATCTGAACACAAGTTTAGGATATCTTTGATTAGAAAAAGACAACAATTTGGCGCCAATCTGCACATGATCCATCTTCCCGTTGAGATGGGAATTTGTCTTCACATACACACAAAAAAAAGCTCTCCAAGGGTCCTTACAATTAGGGGTGGATTCAAGTCGAGTTGAGTCGAATAGTATCAAGCTCGAGTTTGGTTCGAGCTCGAGCTTGAGCTCGTCTCGTTTTATATTTTATAAAAATAAAAATTATATATAAAAAATTTTATTTTATATTTAAAAATTAAGAATTATAATATTTTTATTTTATATATATTCGAGTCGGCTCGCAAGCCTCATGAGCCGAGCTCTAAAAGGCTCGAGCTCGGCTCGTTTAATAATCGAACCACTAAATTGGGCTCGAGCTCGAGCTTAAACTCGACTGAAACCGAGTCGAACCGAGCTTTTCACAAGCCGAGCTCGAACAGCTCGTAAAAAGCTAGGCTCATTGCCACCCCTAYTTACAATACTTGCAGTTCTGCATTGGTAACATTTCTGTACGTAGTATGTTTTTCATTCATGAAAGATATTCGTAAGGCATGGTTGAAAGTGTTGCAAGGAATCGAGGACCAAATTGATGAAAATGAAATCTGGATTCCATTACGATACTTGATTCTGAAAATCGCTCTCCAAGATAATTCTACAGGCAAATACTTATACGGTTCTACCATCCTTTGAGTTTACTTAATTATATACATCTCCATTGATCATGGTACTACAAGAGGTTTGTTAATAGAAGAGACAGATGTTATTTTACCAAAATACCCTCATTTATGAACATTAGATACAGTTTTATCATTTCTAATTTTTATTTTATTTTATTCCATTTTACTTTATTCTGAATTTATTTTCAAGTTTTCCTTCTCACCTTTACTTTGTGGCAAGGTTTGCTCAAGGCTGCGTTCGGATGCAGTACAAATTTCATTTGCACTAGTGTAAATGTATGGTAGTGTGCAAAAAGCCTGAGTATAAATTCTGATTTACTTTTGCTTCATATTTAATTTTGTCTTGTCTGTTTGTGAGAAGGAAAATAGAAAGTAAAATGAAGTGACCTTCACTTTAAATGAAAGAGAATGGAGATAGGAAGAGGGTTATCTGTTTAGGAATAAGGTAGGATGCAAGATGATATGGTCTCCATTTTATAATTTATATGAGAAAGAATTGAGTGTGGGAGGTAGGTGGTGCAAATTTTGTATCAGGTTTTGGGGTGCAAAATTTCCACTAGCATTGAATGCAAAAGAGACAACAAGACAAATTTTGTATTAGGTAGGAATGCAAATCATAATTACAAACAAATAAAAGCAAAACTGAACTGAATACAAATTTTGCTATAGTCAAGATTTGCACTGCAACCAAATGCAGCTTTAATAATTTACTTTTTAATTTAGAAGGTTAAAATGAAGCAATTCTTTCTTTGTGCTTCAAGCATTCAATGTCAAGTCAGTGAAAACATGGGGAGAACAGTTCAATATGTGATGAGAATTTAGGGATGGTAATTTCTACCCTACTAATGGGTACTCACCCCTACCCTCCCCAACAAGGTAGGCTTTTTTTGATTGAAAGATGGGTTTTGGGGTGGGGACAGATTTTGGGATTCTACAATCTGTATGGGTATAAGTAGGGTAGTGTATTATCCTAAACCCAACCCTCCCCGACCTGCATATTGTTGGAAAGCATATAAAGTTTATGTACTATGTGTTGAATTTAATAATATTTTGAATTTTATGTGAAGGATAAYTGATAGTGTATGTATTTTTTATGTCTCAATCAAATAGTTGAATTTTTTGTTGTTTATTTGTGCTATTTTACTTATTTATTGCTTATATATGACAAGAAATAATAAGAAATTAGATGTAGGTTCTAAACCCAATCTGCCCCTACCATAGAATGCAGGTAGGGTTAGGGAGAGTTTTGCACTTTAATGTACGGGAGGGTTTGGATTTTCAAAATCCAACCCACTACAGGTTTTAGGGTAGATATGGGTTGGGAGATAGGGATGCGGGTAGGGCCTAGAATTTACAAAGCCCTCCCTGAACTCACCCCATTGGCATCCCTAGATGAGATGATAACCAGCACTGTAAATATACCAGATTTAGTTCAATTAGAATTCAGATTCGATTCAATCAAGTTAGATGTGTTTATCAAATCAACCTTGGACTAATACGATTATATAATATGTATATATGTATTTGTGTGTTTATGGCATGCATGCATTAATTGTTGACCCTTTTTACAAATTACTTTGCAATTTTATACCAAGATATGAGATTTAGTTAAACCTATTTTTGTCTATTTATGATATGGGGTTTGATTATGTAATAGAAAGACATGATATTGGAAAAAACTTATAACGGATATCATAAAAGTGATAACCAATTAGGTGGTATTTATCAAAAATTCAGAGGGTGAGGGGGAGTTGATTAGTCAAAGCTCTTTCAGTATAATGTCTTTCAAACAGCATACATTTTCCTTATGATATATAGCTTCTTGTTCCATGTTTAGTTTTGTAGATCTATGCTAGTCTTGTACAGATTTATTGAATTTTTAATCAAATTGTATTTGAAGTTTTGAACCAAATATCCAAATATGTAAATAAATTGGATTTGAATCTATCTAATTGATTTGAATACTACCCTTGTCCAAAATTGACTCAAACCAACAAAAATTAATCAAGATTGAGAGAGATTATAATGACCCATATATTTCAGATTTCGGTTTATTGTTCACAAGGAATGAGAGAATAAGTAGAATGTTGGTTATAAATTAGGCTGACTGGATAAAGTACAAACACCATTTTAGATCCCTCTAAGATTAGAAATCAAATTGAACAAACAAATCAAAGCCAAGGATGGTTTTGGTCATGACTCATGCGTAAGAAAGACAAACAAATGACACCAGCTAGAATGATCTGAATCCATTAAAGGCTTTCAAAGGAAGCCCTAAAAGAATACGAATAGAGATAGTGACACAAGATACCAATCCTTATTCTAAGAAAACTTTCTTCTTCTTCTTCAAAGAGAGAGAGAGAAAAGATCCGAAACCTAATGCTTTTAAGTTTTAACACGAAAAAGGGCTCTAGACAAAGTCCAGTGGGGTGGATTCTTTTAACTGGCCTCAAATAATTGTCATAATATCTCAAGGATTAGGAAAATGCATTCATACACGTCTATATATGTGCATATGTGGCATGTATGTATGTATGCATGTGGTCTTGCCGGGTGACATAAAAAGTGGATGCAGCTGTCATGAATTTACTCAACCCATGCTACAGGTACATGGAGTGTTTCTTCGAGGTCCATATTTGGACCCATTCCCATTTGAGAGAAGCTTTACTGCATCAAACTCATCCTCTATTCTAAGACTTGAAAACAAATGAAATTCAAACGGGACATACTTTCTTTACAACGGCAAAAGTACTAATACTAGTGAGAAAGAGAAGTAGCCAAGGGTGTGGCTTAATATGAAATATTTGAAACGAAAAGTACGAGTCCGACAAGGCCAAACTAAAATGAATTATTGGTATGAAAAGGAAGACAGCTTTGCAAAGGCCCCCTCGAACCCCTATACAAATTCAAGCAAATGATAAACATTTTAGAATCTGACTTTGTCCCATGCTCAAGAAAATGTGGGGTAAAGAAAGGTGAGTGGTCTTTCTGACGCACTACCGGCAGAGGCAGAAGCTTTGCTGAAGCAACGAACAAAGTGCTCTCCGGTGTAGAGATAACAGAGTGAGAGTGGTGGAGGGAAAAGTATTTGTTTGATGGCTTTTATACTGATGCCTGCTGACATGAATATTGAATGTTGCTGTTACTATCATTATTGTTTTCTGCTGCTCGTGGTGTCCTTGCTCTTGCGTGGGGAATGGCCTCAGCATGACACGCACTGGATCCTCAAAATCATGTGCATTAACCACTCAACTTTCTATTGCATATATGCAGGGTAAGCTGCATGCAAGAGCTTTTCGAGAACCCCTAAACGGTCTAGGAATCTTATGCATGGCAGAAGGGTCCAGACTCCACCTAAAATATGGTCCCATGTGTTCATCTAAGAATCTCCGATTTATGAGGCAAGCCCAGAATCATCCCTTGCCATCTATGCAGCCTACTGCATTTTATAGAAACAGCCAATATATCAAAATTGGAATCAGAATCATAATCGGAATGGTCTATTGCCATAGTCTGTTTGTTTAGTTCAGACGAGTCTAGATCAAATAGGCATGACATTGTAAGCACATTAAATTAGCACTTTCAATTGACACCTATCCGTTAAAATACCCCCAACCTATCATTGGAAAAGATTAATGACAACTTTCAACATGCTTCCTATGTTATACCTACTGAATCCGGTCCTGATTCAAACAGGAGTTGGAATCGATAGGAATGGGATTTCATTCCCAAGGGAGGGGCAAGGAATGGTCATTCCCTCAAATGGGAGAATGCCATTCCAACAGGAATGTAAATGAGATTTTGATTCCACTACAGTTGGAATCGGAATGGAAATGGCCACTCCAATTTTGAAGTTTCCTCCAACACTAAGGTTTAAAATATCAATACGCCCAATACGCCTAGCGTATCGGTAGTTTTTTTTTTCAAATCCGGTTCAGAGGGGCCAATGTAAGGTCCGTCCACCCCCCGAACCAGTCTCCCGATATGATACATATTGGCTGATATGGGCCGATACATATTGATACTTTGAACCTTGCACTAAGGTGTTTATTTAAGTTCAGCTCATGTGGAGCTTAATGACACCTAGCTGTAACATCAAAAAAACGTTTATCAACCATTTTTTTTGGTTTTTCAAGATAAATTTATTAAATAAATGACCTCAGTACCAAACAGCCTCTTAATTTGTTGGAGAAAATGGAATGGCAATCGCCGATCTCACAGGATGTAAAACCATTTTATTGCACCTATGGAAGACCATTTTTTCCACTCGTGCATAGGTTACAACTTACAACTTACAAACAAGGCAGCAAATGACATACCCGTTCTTTAGTGTTTCGGAAGGCCTAGTTAAGCAATTAAAATATTAAAATATACAAGAGAAAAAGGATAAACAAAAATAAAACCATAACTCAAAAACGCGATATATTACAGAACTAATAAGCCAAAGTCTCTCAACCACGTCCCCCACGCCAGAAAAATAAAATGCAAGGAAAAAAAAAAAGAACAAATTGTAACTATTCGGGATCCCCAAAAGATTAATTCGATTCGTATGGTGGCTTCGTGCTTGAAAATTCTTTTTGGCTCAAATAACTGTCGACCAATGGGGAATTTGGTCCTAAATGGTATAGTTTAAAGTTTGATATCAACCAAAAGGTGAAGGAACAGGCCCTGTCAGAGCGTCCGATCTTTTAATGCTCCCCATACCACAAATGATGCAGCCAGGAGTTGAAAGGGCAGAAAATTTAGCCCCACAGAGATCACAAACATCATGTCCAATGGTTGGCAGGCGGCTGAGCGTGGCAGCACAGAATTGGGAAGGATCTTCTAATGGATCAATGGACTTGTTGGACAATCCCCTCTGAATGCACATGTCAATCAAGCTCCTCAACTCATCTTGCTTACTAGGTGGTGCTTTTGACAGGAGGAGATCGAGCATCTGCTTTGCATAAGCATAGTTCTGCACTTCCATGTTCCGTTTTATGGCAGTCCTTATGCAGTTTATTCGATGCTTTGTTTGAAGTGGTAAGGAAGCCAGGTGGCGGGAGAGTCTTGCCATTTCATCTTTTGCACTAATTGCACTAGGTCCTTGTACCTTCTGCAGCCGTCCAATTTCCTACGATGGAGAACAGGTGGTTAGCTTTCTTATCATAATAAATTATGCATGACAAATATCAAGTTTAAGGCATCGGACATGATCTCCTAAGTAGCGATCTGTGGATGTCAACCAATACAAGATAATGTGGCAGGAATCTCTAAAAATCGGCTACTCTTGTCTGATTTCTATTTGATTACTACCCAGGCTTTGTGCGTGGCACAAATAAAGAAGAATATGGATCTAGACTTTATTTAAATACAAACTGAGTCCTACTAAGCCTAGAAAACAGATTAACTAGATGACCAACCCATCTGGTCTACTTTTCTCCTGGATTTTTCAATGTAATTTTACAAAAGAGTCCATTGCAGCCTGGGTGACCAGGGTTCAGATCTTGGAAACAGCCTCTGTATATAAGGCTGCATACACCTGTCCCTCCTCAGACCCCGCATTGGTGGGAGCCTCATGCACTGGGGTTCCCTTTAGACAAGTTACAAATGCCTTTAAGTAGCATCATCAGGTCATTTAGTGCACTTTTTCTTTTTATTCCTCCCCACAACCTGGGCTTTCATGACAATACCTGAAGTAGAGCAACTGCAATCTTGTATTGAGCACAGATGGTGGCTTGAGCTTTAATGTCAGCTCCACGAGACTGGTCCTTGGCCAGTGCAAGAAAAGCTTCATCAAAACAAGAAAGTGCATCTGGAAGTTGATTCTGCTCAAGGTGTGCAAGTCCAGTTTTAAAGCATACTGAAGCAGCAGCCCCACGAGGAACCTGTGAAAGAAAACAAGCAAGATTGAAACCAACAAAACAGAACAGATAACAGAAGAGTTTCAGCCCAATAACAAGATGGTTCCAGTTGTCCAAGATGGGCTCAGATAGGTTCAACACCCTATGCGTTACTTCCCTTATTACTCTAGGTTATTGCTACCTGGCAAAACTTGTTTGTGTTGTTTCTCATGATGAATGATATCAAGCTAAACCTTGATGGTGCTCACTCAGCAAAATGTCTATTATAGGAGTATTTCCAAAGAGGGGGAGAATCAATCAAGTGTGTTTAGAAACTGTTAAGGTTGAAAATGTCAAAGGCAAACTATGTTTTTGTTTCATCAGCAACACATTAAGTCTTCTGGAAACATGGGATATTCTTCTCTCTTCTACTTGAACTAAATTGGAATTCTAAACCTCGCCCTAGCAAATCATAGAAAATGCTAAACGAGTTTAAAATATTTTCATATATCAAACTATGAAAAAGCCCTTCAAAGACAAAAAAGGTTATTATCAATTATGCAAATATATGGTTTTGATATTATTTTATATTTTAAAAAGAAAGCTATAGCATGTGTACCAAGATAGGTTTGTGATGTTTCCTGTAATTTTCTGTCTGAAGTTTTAAGTATGGTAGATAAATTTTGATTTGAAAGTAAAATCCATTTTAAATGATTACTGGATTAAAACAAAATATCTCATAGTATTTACAAGGAATTTGAAATTTAAACAATATTCACATAGATGTTCAGGAAGATATTCCAATACCATTCTTAAACATATTATATATCCGCTCAGATATTCCATAAATTTTCCTACTTTTCTTAAAAAAGCATTTTAAAGTTCAACATAATTTATATTCCCATAGAAAAGAGAAACTTTCTTTCATGGACTTTATGTATGAAAACAAGAAACATTCCTGTGACATTGTGATACCAATTCAAACAATTATGTGATACCAATTCAAACAATTATGAAAACAAGAAACATTCATGGACTTTATGTAGATATATGTTTCACTTTTGAAGTCTAACCTTAGGAAAAGCATGGGTCTAGTAAAAAACTATTAAATATCTCCTTTATGGAATTAAAGAAAATTAATTTTAGAAAAATTATAAGAGGGAGACCTAGCAATGCACTTGGTTAAGCCTCTAGAAAGGATACAATGAGAGTATCTTATTCATTATTGGTTACAGTTAACAACAATTATCCCATTGTCACTTGTTTCAAGATGATTTTAACTGTAAGAAAGTTTCCATAGCAAAAAAGTGTGGCCTAACACTAGTTTATTGTGGATGTGAAATATTTAAGATTTCCCTCTCTCTACTTTCTCTTTAGTTGTTGATTTCATCTTTTTCTCTAGTATAACTTACTTCTCCAGGGTTCCGATCAAAAAATAAATAAAATAACTTACTTGTCCAGGGCGCACAACAGCAGGAGGAGAAGTGGGGCAGGCAGGAGGTTTTCCGGCAATGACAGATCCCGGTACACCAAGAACACTCAGATCAAGCGCCTGTGAAGAGATTGGAGTCTGCACAGCTGGAGCCTGGGATTGTGGAGGGAGACCAGCCTGGCCCATGGACTGTGGTGGCACACCACCATCTGGCAGCGCAATGGACTCAAGTGGGATAACAGGCTGTTGAGTTGCCCGTGGTGGCACACCACCATCTGGCAGGCCAATGGACTCAAGTGGGATAGCAGGCTGTTGAGTTGCCTGGGGGGGCACTCCTCGATCTGCAAGGCCTATATCAGCAGCTGCATTAACTTGGTTGGGTACCTTGTTCATGTCAAGCCCTTGAGAATTTTGATCCGACCTTGTCGTATATGCCCCAGGAGGAGGTAAAGAGGCTGCAACCTGAAGGGATGATATTGTATTATGGAAAAAGTCCTCAGGGATAGGTCCAGCAGTAACTCCCACACCCATAACTGTTGGGGTTACTTGTCCCACTTTTGCAGGTTGTACCAACGAATCAGTTCCAAATAGATCAGCAGGAGAAGAAACAGGAGGTGTCACAGTTGCAGTGGTTGCAGGACCTGGTTGGGTCAAAACCATTGCAAGATCTGAAGATTTGGTCCTACTAATGGGTGGACCCAACCCTTCACCAAGTTTCAACTGCTTGGTGGCTTCTTTGATCTTATTGACATCCACTGGAGTAGATGCAATTGGCTTGTCTCGTATCTGTATGCGGATCCTTCTGGCCTTTGATACTCCCTCCTCATCACTGCTGCTACCATCAGCAGCAGCACCATATAGTGATTTCTTAAATTCTTCTTCAGCTTTTGCTTGCTCATCTGCAGCAGTGTTGCCTGCCAATTGCTTGTTAAGGGTTTCCAAACCAGCCAAGGAACCCAACTTAGCATCTCCATCAGCCATACCATTGAGCTTACTGGATACAGGTTTAGCTGCAGGTGCTCGGAATCCATTAACCAAACTATCTTCCCTTACTTCTATCACATTGCCCCTTCCTCTAATTACACCCAGATAGACACCAATATGTTCTGGGATGATAGATGGAATGGTACCATCGTTTGTCTTCATGTATGGCATTACTTCTCCTGCCAACTCCCACTGAGGTATATCCTTCATGGTAATGGGAGTCTTGATTTCCCAGTTTCCACCACCCCATTCTGGCCCTTTAGGAACCATACTTTCAGCAGCAAAATTGGCAAAAATACCCAGTGTCCATCCAGTTGAACGGACCCGTAAAATCCTTTCAAAATAGCGCCTCAATTCTGAGTCAGCATCAGCATCTTCCAATTTTTGAGCAAGACGCCGCATGGCACTGGGATTAAGATGGCATATAAATAGATCAAGCATGCTTTCATAATCTGCAATAACCTCAAAAGTTTCTTTTGCACTGTCAAACTGACCATACCTGCAATTCCATTGAGTGAACTATAATTAAAAAGGCACTGATCATAAAGAAAAAAAAGAATTTGCAACTGTTCCTTACCACCCAGAGATAATTTACAAGTTCAACTGACTGCACTTCTAGAAGCATAGTAATGTTTACATACAGGTTCACATACCAAATAGCATTTACCTTGATGTTGCTATTGCAAGAATGTAAAATTTTGGGGTCACAGCATCCACTTCAACAATATTGAGTATTACATTGCTCACATCTGAAATATGTCAGAGAAATAAATTTCTAGGGCAAAAATGTGTATATTATATATCATACATGCACATTTAGTGCCAAAGATTAAAAAGGAACTGTACTATGTATTGTAAAATACTTTTTTATTCTTTATTTTTTGACATTATAATTATAAAATAGGCACTATTAAACTAAAATATTCATTTTGTGTGTTACTACTACTACTACTACTACTAATTTGACATTATAATTATAAAATAGGCATTATTAAACTATAATAATCATTTTGTGTGTTACTACTACTACTACTACTACTACTTTTTCTTTTCTTCTTTTCCTATAACAAAAATAAGGGTTCAGCCCCTATATTTTTTGAATTTTCTTTTCCTTCTTTTTTTTTTCTTCTCATGAATATGTTGATTTTCTATACTTTAACATGAACTCTATACTTTTCTTATGAAAACTATGAATAATTATTAAGGAAATATGGCTATGGTCTAGGATCTATGTTTTCTACATAAAAAAATCCATCGCCTAGGCGCCCGCCTAGGTGACTAGGCGACAAGGAGCCCCCCTGACGCCCAGCCTCGCCTTGGCGCCTTGAAAACTATGATTTCTATGAGAAATACTAGGTGCTCAAGAGGAAAAAGTTGACCCAATAGTTATTTTCCATTTTCAATAACAAGAGAAACTTCTGATAGTGGGTCAAAAACAAGCACTTCTGAAGAAAAAACAAAAGTAAAAGAAAAGAAAAGAAAAACAAGGTACTATGATTCAACCCCAACATTCCATAAAGGCCCAACACTAAAGAATAATCAATCAAGTACATCAATTTTCTATTCCAGTAGTGCAACAATGCTACAATATTATTCAGTTCTCTCCACCCCTATTTTGACCCTTCTTTTGCTTTCCTTAAGTAGGAGGAAAAGGTATTTTGGATTTATAGGAATCTAATGAAACAATTCAAATGGTTTTCAAGAAGTATCCAACTATGAATTCAGTGGATACAAAGGCCTGCTAATGGTCTGGCTAATGTTTTTTGGGCTCAATTGTAAATAATAGCTTGTTTAAGGAGAGGCAGTACGCAGTAGGGTCTGTGCGCTAGTGTTTTCAACCCACTGTTTGACGTGGCCGGTTGAACCGCTCGTATTGTCACCCAGTCAAGATTCTAGGTCTAGTTTGAGTAAAACCCGGAGAAGGTAAAAAAAACCGTTGACTTGGTCAAAACCCGTCTGACTGGGCGGTTGGACTATTGACCCATTTGACCTGATGACCAGGTTGCGGGTTGCATACTAACTATGTATGCAAAGTTCAAGAGGCCATAACTTTGCCCCGTTATTTTTTCCAAAAAAAAACCCTTTTTCGGCCTCAAATTGCAATTTTTAATATTTTTTACAAATAAAAAATTTAAAACTGAATTTAAAAACATAAATTAAATATAAAATATTTCATATATTACATGTAAAACATAATTATATGTTATTTATTAATACAATACATGTTCACACACACACACACACATATATATATATATTTGAATTTCCATATGGATGACGTGGCACGGTCTGACCTGTCCGACTTGGATGGTCAACCAGGGGCAAAAACGGTTTGGTCTCTGGGTTGGTTTTTAAAACACTGCTGCATACTCATTGGATATCTCTTGTATATTAATGGCTTGTATCTCTGCTGTATAATCTATTTATATCATAATAAAATTTTCTGTTATCGATAAAAAAAATAGTTTCTTGTAATTCTTTGCCTCTTCTTTGTTGTACTTTTCTCTTTTCTATTTTCCTTTAAACTTGCTGGTGTTGTTACATGATCAAATAAATCTAAACTGATATAAATTTGTTGGGCTCTTGCTGAATCCCCTGAACTCGACAATCTCAAGTAAAACTGGAAAATCACACAATTGTTAGATTTAAATACCTACCTGATCCCTTAAGGCCCAAGGTTGGTTACCTAAGAAACATCTATAAAGTTTAACTTGATATAATTCCCTAAGGAGGATCCATAAGTTTACTGTGTATGAACGTGGAGAACCTTGATCAAAATTTCATTGCACCCCACTCATTAATGGTTAGGGCTGCAACTTGGGTGGGCTCAGGTTGAGCATTTGTTAAAATTTGGATGGGCCCAGCCCAAGGGTCTGAGCTTGATGCTGTGTAAATTCCTCAAGTCAGGTTTCCAACTTGCACCCCTAATAATGGTGCATCACAGATCCAAATACATGCCAGATTTAACCGATCTGCAAGAAAGCGTGCAAGTCCAAATAATTGGTAATCAACATAACTCAATACAAAGAGGTGTAAGAATAAGGACTTGTATGAGGGGAAGACAAGGCATTTGATCTAACTTCATAATTAGGTAAATGTTCAAATCTGAGACGAATTCTAAGCAGTGAACAAAAGAGTTTTGATCTAATTCCATCATCAGGTTTGTAATATCAACATCAGCTTCATATAAGCAGTACAAAAGAGAATTGATCTAATTTCATCATCAGGTTTGTCGTACATTCTCAAAAAAAAAAATATTTTTCCTTTTAAATTTGGTTTTTCACACTTACTTGATACAAGCATATCCCAATTGTCGAAACCGGTGAAACAAATGAGAAGTAGGAGGACATTGTGGATAATCTCTTGAACGCAAGAACTCATCTTTTAAAACTGACAAAGCTGTAGAGAAACGGAGGGCTTTGATTGCATAGATGCACCGCAACACCTACAATTGAAGTAACATTCAGGAAAGACGGTGAGTTAGGAGAAATAGGAATGCAAGAATGAATAGAACAACTGATAACAGTAACTCACCTGAGTAAACTGTGGACCTGCTTGGGACAGTGATACAGCAAGATCTCCACAGACAGGAGAACCACTAGCAAGAATATCAAGAGACCTTGGAGAAATGCGCAAGCTATCAAATCTACATTTACACAATGAACAAATGTAAGAATTCACATGCAGAAATATCCCAACTGTAAAGCATGAATTCATCCAAAACAGAATGAACTAGAGACAGAAATCTAAACTTAATGCAGCAACTCAAAATTGTGAAAGTTCAGAAGAACTGTTACAAATGGAAAGATAGATACATTATCTTTTTTTTATGAATGTAAATACATTGCCTATTTAAGTAGGAACAGGAGAAAACCTTGATGTTATTTGGTAAAGAATTTCTGATAAGTCAAGCTTCTGTTCAAAATGTTTCTGCATTGTAGCAAAACCAATAAGAAGAGGTTCAAGAAGGCCAACAAGACAGCTCCTTATCTCAATCCCTTTCTTTTGTTTAGGATTAATGTCCGTTGGATTTGCAAGCAATAATCGATCATTCAAAGCACCAACCAAAACTGCATCCATAGAACCAGTTCATCCTCATGACTCAAAAAAATATTTTGAAAAAAGACAAATTTGAGCATCACAATTTATGGCATATATATCTTCCCAAACACTACTGGGATACTGTGAAACCACAAAAAATTGTGAAGGATCTGAGCAACCATTGGAAAAGGGAAAAGAAGGGAAGGGAAGACGAGGAAAAAAAATCACCTGAATAAGGCATACTAATTGAGAGAATGGTCCTGACTTTGCCATCCCATCCAAGAACACTAATTGCAGTTGCAGTTGAAAAAACAAGTGCAGGCCCAACCCATAAAAGGGATCTAAAGTAGACATAAGTTAAGCATTTAGACAATGACATGAAACCTTTTCATGTGGACAAAAAGTGATTAAATAGAAAAGAAAAAAACTCTTCAGAAAAAAAGTTTCACTTTTTTAAGGATATTGAAGGAAGTCCACTATCAAACTTCATAGAACTGCTTGCCAATATATCAAGATCTGCAGAAGCAATTAGCACCCTGTGGCTAGTCAGTATTCCCACAACCTGGCCTCTAAGGGTTTCTTGCCAGTGGACCTGTAAAACCCAATTTAAAAGTACAATAGTATTAATCAGAAAAGCTCTGATATTCTTCCATGCAATTTTTAATGCAATATTAGGAATATTAACTACAAGCTACAATAAGAGACAAATTGCTTTGTACAACCTAGGTTCAAACCATGGAACATCTTCCTCTTTTTCCTTTGAGATGGAATAATGTGGCCCTTTGAGTCCAATAGCTGCTTCTCCTGCTCCTCTTCTCTCATACCTTTTAAACTCTTGATACTAGTACCTCATCCCTCTTGGTATTTCCAGTCAAGGCAATCTAGCATTGTCTACTACTAAAATTAGGGCTTTTTGTTGGGAGATGATCCACCCACAAAATTAACATGTCACATGCACTAAAGACAAGGTTCAAAGTATCGATACGTATTGGCCCGCATCGGCTGATACATATTGTATCGGAAGCTTCCCAATACGCCCCTACAGAGGGTGTATCGGAGTTTTGACCAGTTCAGGGGGGGGACAGACCTTAAACCGGCCCCTCTGAACCGGATTTGAAAAAAAAACTAAAAAAACCACCGATACGCCTCTACCGGCGTATCGGGTRTATTGATATTTTGAATCTTGACTAAAGCTGAATATCAACTTGGTTCTTTTCACTCCATATTTGTTTCTTATGCAGGTTTGAGGTGAGCCTAATACAATATTTATTTTTCTCTCCCTACATCTCTAGGATTTGGGTCACTTTATTGGGTACTAAAGAAACACTGGTGACTGAAAATTACAAATCTATTTTACTCTCACTTTCTCCCAACTAAAGGGGAAAAATTATGTTGTGTTTAAGAGCAGCAGTTTAATGAGAGTTAAGGACCTGAATATAAATAAGCTGGTCATAGAAGGGGATTCTGAGATAGTAGTGGGATGGTTAAAGGAAGACAAGGTTGGGCTCTGGAACTACAGCAATGAGAAGAGAAAAATAAACCTTTTTATTTTGCATCACCTCTCCTTAGAGATTATGATGGCGTTATTATCCTAATAAATGCTACACTTTGAAATAAGTGCGTTGTACACTGACAAATGCATGACTTTATCAGCTCTGAGGAGCAAAACCATCCAAGAGCAGATACCCTTTCCTTTACAAAGGCTTCAACCCCCCCTTCAATTTGTACTGGTCAATCTTACACCTTCAAAAATAAACCCAGTGAATACTTGAAATTAGAGCAGAACCATTTACCTGGAGTGCAATCTCATTTGCTTTCAATTTGATTGACTTTTTCCCTTCAGTTTTTGTTGATATATGTTGGCCACCATCAGTTGAAAGGCGGTATTCTTGAATCAACTTTGCTAACCCAATATGGCTGCTATCACAGGCATACATGACAGTTGATTCTACAATAAAGGAAAACAATCATCAATATGCATTGAATATCAACTGCAAAGCTATAAAACATGGAGAAACTTTTTCTTACACTACCTAGTGGTGTAGAAAAGATGTGATCAACTTCAGTTTCAAAAGTGAACTGCAATGGACCACGAATTGAACCAACAGTTGTATCAGAAGATGAGTCTGGTTCGTGTGTTCCATTATTTTCAACACTTTCTTGTGAAGTTGTCCCTGGAAGAATGTACAGAGCCAGATCGGTCTTATCATCATCAAGAATCACGAACTGATTCTCATTAGGGCCAATGAATGCTGCATCTTGACCTATAGAACACAAACAACAAGAGTTAAGGGTACTTAGTGAAAACACAAATATGCACAGCCACAGACACTCATAGAGAGAGAGTATAAAATTTGAAAAAAAAAAACAGACCTTTTATTGTGCTTCCTTTGCTGTTAGCCAACTGAAAATCAGTTTTTTCCCAATAAAGAACAACCTCACTTGTAGCACCACTGAACTTGAAAACAACAAGAAATAAATGCTGCTTTGTACTATATAGCAGTTTTTTTGGATGGTATTCTACATGTCCAGGAATCTGAAAAACAGAAAATACATCATCCTACTAAGATATACAAGTAATCCACTCACGGATTCTAATAGTATACCACTTTCACCAAGAAAAATATCTCATTGTCATTTATTTTTATTACTACATCAAATATAATTGGCAAGAAAAATAGCACTTCTTTCCAGTACCGAGGAATAAAGCTTCTTGTACATATTATCTGATCCAGTAGAAAGATTATATGCCATAAGGTTAACGCCATCCACATAAAATACCCTCACGGGATAATGAAGAACTCGATTCTCTTTATTGAAGAAATTCAGCTCCAAATGGAATGGCTGCAAGTGCAATTAGTAACACCATTTTAGAGAAAATTAGGACAAAAGAACAGATGTATCAGAACCAAGATTTGTAATCCTCCAGAATACCTGGCAAACAGGCATGTCCTTCAGAAGATAGCTAGCATCTGAAATAGATATGAGAGGCAGCCGAGATATTGGAGCAATATTGGCATGACCTTCCATGAAATGCTATAAAGAGAACACATGTACTAAATGGGTCAATAGCTATCAAACTGAGAAGAACACTGAACTTAAACAAAATTAATGAGCAGTAAAAATTAAGTTATGGTCTATGGGTTCTAAAAAAATAATAGGGAGTATTTAGAAGTATCACATCACATTAAGTTACATAGCACTTGAGCCACATAGATTTCATGAATCAAATTTAGCATAGAACAGAATTGTAAGTTTCTAGCTCTTGTTGGATTGTAATAAGTAATAACTCAGCTATTACAACGTGATACAACAATTAAAATTTTTATTTTCTTTTGTGGTGCAGCTCAACCTGAGCACTGCTAATGATATAATTGAAGCTTGGCCAAAAACATTAGTTGATGACTAAGCAAGGATTCATTTGTGAGCCTTTTTCTTCTGATGAGTAACACCACTGAATTTTATTAATTAGGAGTAAAATGTAAGTACATCAAAGCAGGAGGCTAGCCTCAGCTAACCTCCAAGTAAAGAACAATCCCTATTAAACTTGGCCCCAATACAAATGACCCCTTGAAACACCTTGCTTTGCTAGTTCATCTGTCATCCCAGCTGTGGATCCCAATTCATTGGTGAGCAATTACTTTTGCAATTTGTTAGGAAATTTGGAAACAACAGAACAGAGGACTATTTGAAGGGATGATATGGGTTGAAGTCTGGGAATATGGGTTGAAGTCTGACAGAAGCCACTTTAGCGCCAAACAAATGTCAAAGAGTAGATCAGTATCCAGTTTACTCCTACCAAGATCCCATATAACCAGGACTACCATAGGATAATGACTTTTGGCCTTTAGGCCCTGTTTGTTTACCGGTAAATGGGGTGGGGTGGGGGGGAGTTGGTCAATGGGTAAAGAGAGCCTCACTTACATTTGCCCATTTTGACATTATCTTTTTATGGGTAAGAAGGTAATTATATTACTTACCTAGGAATCAAAAGAACATGGGTAAGTGAACTTACCCGGGTAAATGTTACCCAGGAAACATTTACCTGGGTAAGTTACAAAATTGTAAACGAACAAGGCCTTAATGCAACCTAAATCCCAACTATTTCTGGTCAGTTACACAAACCCTGTCCCACCATTTTGCTCTGTCGAGAGCCATTTTTTCAGTTAAATTGGAAGTCCTTAAATCATTTCTTACCACTTCAGCCACACTTTCTTTGACTTTCTCCTTTTCTTTAGAGAATTTTATTTGCACCAAGGCACTTCACTGGTGCACTCATTGGTCATTTAGCACATGATTAAACCATCTCAATCAACTTTCCTTCATCTTCTCACCAATTGGGGCATTGCAAGGAAACAATGTATGTTAGAGAATGAAAACTGACTAGTCGATGCATAGGTGCTGACTGATTACCAAAAATAAAAGGAAAAAAAAAAGATTTCTTCTAAATTTAAGATAGTGATGCTATCCCATAAATAAAATAATACAGACTAGAAATATGCACTAAAAGAATGATATTGACCATTTAGTTTATGGTCTTTCTTTTGCAAACATTGTAAAGTTAGGCTGGATAGACTAGGATAGGGATTTAAGCCTTTGTATTTGCTCCACTTTCATCTTTTATTCTATGTTGTTTTATATGCCATCAATCAATCATGTCCAATCACAAATACTTAAAGCAAAATAAAATCATAACATATATTGTTTTAAATAATTAGAGACAAACACAAATAAAAAAAAAAGCTTTAAACAACTATTGGTTGAACAGTAATCCTACTTGACCAATTAGTGATGCAATCATGCAATTGGAATGGCATTCAACTGACTAGTGAATCAACTAGTCAACCGATGTAACCATAACCAACAAGCAACTCTCCACATGTCTGGCCAGGTCTGTGCCAGAGCTTGACTAGGAGATTCTACAACCATGCTTATGCTGTTACAGCATTACTACATATAAGCTTCACTTTGATATCCATATTTCAGTTCAGAAGAATAGCATTTCGAACAAGAGGAACATACACTGTGGAGAAATGCCTTCCGTGCAATATCTGATATAGTAAGCTGACTTTGGCTGTCATAAGGAGAATACATTATCACCATGGTAAAATAATAAGAATCTCCAATAAAAAATGGTTGAAACAAAAAACAAATGTCATCCGAATAGAAGATCATAAGAAAAACATGTTATTGTAAACAATGCCACACAAACAACAAGAAACAAAATGTCACACGTTTAATAACTGAATCATAAGAATCATGACATAATGTGAACTTTCAGGGTATAGAATTACATCTGAACACAATTCAAACTTTCAAAGTATGGAGTCGAATTTTGTAAACTATTTATACTGGACACTACAACAAAGCAGCCAAATGGACAGCATGACTTATGTATATTGACAGATGTACAGAGGACATTAAAAACCTCAAAAAGACACAAAAGAAAATACTTCTGGTCATAAAGGAAAGAACAGGTTTTGATGAATGTCACTGTAACTGGTGTGAAACAAAAACCAGGAGCACGATATGGCTACTACATTCTCTAGGATTTCCTCTTCAAAATAGAGCTTGTTATCAAAAATCAATGAACTCTCCAACCACGTCACCCATAATTGAAGGGGAAGGATGCATCAAGTGATTTCCCTTGGCTGAAAAGGCCTTTATCCTTTTCTTGTTGGAATATCTATCACATATAGAGGGCAAGACCGGATTGCATGGAAAAATCAGCAAGGCTGATTTTGCTCCCAATTGTTGATCATGGGTAATATATTTTGAGTATTAATAAATGCCCCTGATAAGCTAAAATATTTACACAACTACTATACATTGAAACTATTCCTTTTATCCATATATTCTTAGATTCTCTTTGCAAGACAAGAGAGAGAGAGAGAGAGAGAGAACTTGAAAAATAAAAGAAGTGGCTGATCATTGAAATGAGCAAATAACAATTTATCAGAAAAGAAAGAGGCAAATTTTTCGAAGTAAAGGCTGTCAAGAAGAGGAAGTGTGGCAAAAAATAGTTGGGAAACTGCTATCCTGGTCATCTGCACATCTATCAAGAAACAATGTCCCCCTTAGTTCTCTCTTTCTTTTTGAAAACCTTGTTGTAATGACAAATGGGATAGTGGCCTAATGTTTATGTTGTATTCCCCATTGTATAGCTTCTGGTTGTACATGGGTTTCCTTTTTTCTTTTTTAATGAATCAATACTTTACCTCTTCTCAAAAAAGAAAGAGGCAAATTTTCTTATGAACCTCAACATAAGATGATGATTCATTGAAATAAGAAATAAAGAATGAATCATTTTAAAATTAACAAACTCAGAATATTACTCAGTGCTAAATACTACAGAAAGAGTAACTGATCCCAATTGGTGAGATGCCCCATATAAATGATCTAGCTGAAACTTTGGGGTGCAAACTGCAAAGTTTGCTCTCTTCCTCCCAAATTCCTTGGACTTCCTTTAGGGGGCAAACTACAAAATTCAAGGGGATTTGGAATCCACTCATTAAATGTTTCCAAAATAAATTAGCAAGTTGGAAAAGAGATTACCTTTCAAATGGAGGGAAGTTAATTCTAATTCAAAGTGCTTTATCAAACTTGCCAATCTACTATTTCTCTTTATTTACTGCCCCAGCCTCGATGATAAACCAATTGCAAAAATAGAAGAGACTTTCTGTGGGAAGATACATGTGACATAAAGAAGTTCCATCTCGTGGCATAGAGTCAGAATTGCACACCCAAAGATAATGGAGGCATCGGTATCCAACCTCTCAAAACCTTAAACATAGCCTTATTGGGGAAGTGGGTATGGACAGATAGCCTTAAAAAGATATGATGTGAAGTTAATCAAAGCCAATTATGGTGGTACTGAGCTGGACTTGTTCTCCCAGTCCCCCAACAGGCCTATGGSTCTAGCATCTGGAAGGGCGTATTGAGAACTTATCAGGAGTTCTCCAAACTTATTAAATTCAAGCCCGGTAATAGGTGATAGTTTGGGCCGATTCTCTGTTAAGTCTTCTTTCAATCAGCTGAGGGGCAGAATGAGTCAAAAGTGGCCTGAAGATGGATTTCAAGAGATCTGAACTTCCACCAAAAGTGATTTTCTTCATGTAAACAGCAGTCCTAGACAGAATTCTCACTTCTGACCATCTGATACAGAAAGGAGTAGCAGTCCAAACCTTTTTCTGACTGTGCAATAAAGCTGAAGAATCAGTCCAGCATTTGCTAATCCACTGTGAGTTCATATATAGCATGTGGACCCACCTCTTCCGATTGTTCAGGGTGCTTTGGCCTTGTCACTAGAGACCTCAGCACATTACTGTCTGCTTGGCTTTTCAAAGGACTTAGTAAGAGAGGTTCTATTCTTTGGAGAATGATTCCTCTAGCGTTTGGTTGGGAGACATGGCAGGAAAAAAAAGCAGGATTTTCAAAAATGTATCCATGTCAAAGGCAAGATTGATCGGGCTACTGAAGAGACAAATGATTTTTTTTTGTCAAAGGCTCACAAGGAATTCCTAAGCTTTAGTTTCTCTCATTTCTCAAACCACTGGAATCAGATTATTGTAGATGACGATTTTGTAATTACTGCAAGTTAGATATTAATGTTTTCAACCCACCGTTGGCCCGGTCGTTCGAACTGTCACCCGGCTAGGATTCTAGGTCCAGTTCAGTCAAGACCTGTCAGATGGTAAAAAACTGTTGACTTGTTCAGGAACGTTTCAACCCAGACAGTTCGACCATTGACCCATTCGACCCAGTGACCGGGCCATGGGTTGCACACTGAATACATGCAAACTTTTGGAGGCCATAACTTTGCACTCCAATGTCCAATTGGGGTGATTTTTTTATTATTTTGGATAACTTTTTGAGATTTATGCGTCCCAAGGCATGGCGCCTTGCCCCGCTATTTTTCACGAAAAAAAAAACCCTTTTTTTGCCACAAATTGTAATTTTTAATATTTTTGATAAATAAAAAATAAAAAACTGAATTAAAAAACATATACTAAATATAGAATTATACATATAACATATCTAAAACATATTTATACATTATTTATTGCTAAAATATATATTTATACACATATATATACATATACACACACACACACACACACACACATATATATATATATAATATGTATATAAAAATATATATACTTAATACATATACGCTGACATGGCACGGTCTGAACCATTCAACCCAGCCGGTCAAACCAGTGACTCGCAACCTGGAGGCAAAAACGGTTTGGCCTCCGGGCCAGTTTTTAAAACATTGTTAGATATACACTATCTTATACTTGAGATCATCTGCCCCTTTTGGCTTTTGTACAGCTTTTTGGAAATCTCTCCCTCCCTTCCTTTAAAAAGTATATTTTACTTCTCCAAAAAAAGGCATATACAATCCAACCAATATCCACAAATTTCTCAAGCTCTAGAATTCTTTTTTGCATATAGTTCCACAGCAATCCTCTCTCCTCTCAAACAGAACATATCCATTCCAGATATTTCTTCCATCCGTCACTTATAAGGGTATTTGAATGGTATGTAGGAAAAAAARTTCCAAGGATTTTAGGAGATCAATCCACCCCATAGTATTTATATGTATAAAGATTATCTTACTTTTAGTTCTCACATTCATAAGGAGTTTAGTCACTTCAGTGAGATCAATTGAGAGGATTTTTATAAATTGCATGTTTGCATGAAATACAAGATCCTTGTTTTCTTTTGCATACTGCTTTAACCCTCTTCCTCTATCTAATACATTTTCTTCAATGGGCCATAGAGACTATGCTACCAGATAGGAGTGGCAAGATCTCTAGCATCAACAGTGAATCCATTTTTCTATTAGGATCCTAAATCATCCAAGTGTATAGATGATAGTCTTTCAAGAGGAAGGGTTTCAAGAATTAAACTTTATAGGGAAATGCCCATAGCAAGTTGAGGGCATTTTTGGTAAACCATGTATAAGGAACATGATAGGTCATTAAGCAACCTTGGTTATCTTTCCATGCAGCCTTGTGTCTTTGCACTTGTTCATATCACAGACATTTGCATTAGTACAAGAAATTCACTACTAGTAATTCAAAAGATCATTCCCAACTTACCCCTTTAAGTGATGCTCCTGCAATTGCATTTGAAGCTGATGATCAGCTAAAATTCCAGATGAACCTAAAGATGAAAGTTTTTCCTTCAAAACAGAGGCTGCAAAGCAAATACAGCAATTAGCTTATTTCAACAAAGAATTAAATGACATGCTAGAATCAAAAGCATATTGACACTGTAGAGATGTAGAACAATAATGTGGTCCCCACTACTGTTTGTATATTTATGTTACTTAGTGGTAGTTGGTAGTTATTTTCTGTTTCTATTATTTCTTAGCTTATGTAAGCAGTAGGGGTAATTCTGGTTTTTTACCCTGTTTAAACTATTAATATAAATAGCTGAGTGGGGCGACAAGCTTAGCCATGACCCAAACTCTTTTTGACTTTCTTCTCTTCGTCTTATCTTCATCTTCTCTTCTTCTCAACTTTCTTTCTTTTTATTTTACATTACAACTAGGACTGATTGCAGTCTTACTAGACAAGTTGGTATCAGAGCCAACCTAGGGCTTCTCATGTGAGTCTAATCAGGCCGACTACATGAGAACTTCCTAGGGTTGGAAGTTTTAGCAGAGATAAGCCAATCAGCTGATTCTTGGAGATTGCTGGCAGAGTGCAGCAGATGCCCAAGGGATCGTAGAGCCTTGGAGGGTGTCCAGTGATCAGGAAGAATCAGAGAAAAGGAAGAAAGTTCAAGATTATGTTCAGACTGTGGTTTGGAGGTGGCGGCCAGGCTTTTCCGAGTGAGTTTGTGTTTGTTTTTGAGATCAACTTCAACCAAAGTCTGTTTTGAATAATCTAGAAGGTGTGGCTGGGAGTTTTCTTTTTTTTTTCTCCTGATTTTTTAGGGTTTTCTCTTGACCTACGTCCAGTTCTCAGTTTTAAACCCTAAATTTATGACTGTCGTCAATTCCTGGGTAATAGTTAGACCTGTTACAGTATTTCAGACTGAGTAATATTGGTTTCTGGGAGACTATTAGACCTGTTCCAATATTTCTAGGTGATTTGCTGAACCTATTTCATCCTTCTAGGTCGGCTGTTAGCAAGTTCTGGGTGCAATTACACCTGTTTCAGCACTAAAAGGGTTTCTTTTTTATCAATCTCTTGATAGAGATGGCAGAAATGGAGTTTAAAAATCAAGGGGAAAGTGTTTTGGGGGCTGGTGGTTCTGGTAATATGACTGAGAACACATTTCAGATTACCACTGTCAAATTTGACGGATCAAATTACTTGGAATGGGCTCAGTCAGCTATGATGGCTATTGGGGTAGAGGAAAACTGAGCTATCTGTTGGGGGATGTGAAGGAACCAACCAAGGAGGACCCAACCTATGCCGGATGGGTTCAGAACTATTTGATTATGACTTGGCTGTGCAACTCCATGCAGCCTCACATTAGCCGAAATTACTTGTGGGCGAAAAACTGCTAAGGAGATTTGGGACATCATGAAAGAAACCTACTCCCAACCACTTAATGCTGCTAGGGCCTATGAGCTGAAATGTGAAGTAAACAACCTTAAGCAAGGAGAGAAACCAGTCTCAGTTTACTTCTTYACTTTGAAATCCTTGTGGCATGAAATTGATCACCTAGAGACAATTGAGTGGGAAAGTCAGAGGGATACACAAACTTACAGAAAACAAGTTGAAACCAATAGGGTTTTTGATTCCTAGCTTGTCTGAATTCTAAATATGATATAGTGAGACAACAACTCCTCACCAGAGAAAGTGTGACATTGTCACAAGAATACTCTTTAGTGCACAGTGAAGAAAGTAGGAGAAAGGTTATGTTGTAGCATCAGCCATTGGAATCAGCCTCAGTAGCAGTAAAATCAAAGTTTGGGGGTGACAAGGAGAGGGATATGCAGAAGGAAGATAAGAGGGAGCTAGTGTGTGAACACTTCAAGAAACCAAAGCATACTAAAGACACCTGTTGGAAGTTACATCCACATTTAGTTCCAGCAAAGCTCAGAAACAAAAGGGGGAAATGCCAATGTGGCTGTTACTACTAATGGTGCACCCTCATCTAGCACAAGAGCCACATCCCTAGACACCTTAGCTGTTGTCTAGGCTGCTCTAACTCAGTTGGAGAGTGAAGTTGGCAATTCAGCATCCTTATCTCAGCCACAAGTTATAACATCTGCTACTCCCACTTCAGCATTTGCTCATTCAGGTACATAGGCTTCAGCATATCATGCCTCAGCCCCAGATAACACTGAACCTTGTTGGGTGATAGATTCAGGTGCATCCAACCATATGACTAGCTTGTTCTCACTGTTTACTACTTATTGCTTATCCTCTGGCAGAGATAAAGTGTCTATTGCTGATGGCTCCCTTGTTCCCATTTCTGGCAAGGGAGACATTAAATTGTCTAATACCATCTCTTTGTTCTTAGTTTTATATGTTCCTAAACTTAGTACTAACTTGCTTTCAGTTAGTAGCATCACTAAAAACCAAAATTGTTCAGTGACCTTTTTTCCTGATCGATGTGTTTTTCAGGATCTGGAGACAAGGAAGGTGATTGGGATAGGTCGTGTGATGAATGGAATCTACCTGCTTGGAGGGAGCTCACATGGGGAAGATAGTGAAGTTGGGAGGTCCTTTGTTTCTCAGTCTGTGAGTCAGGTTATGCTTTGGCATAATCAGTTAGGTCATTTATCCTTTAGGTCTTTGAAGAGTTTGTTTCCCAGTTTGTTTGAGTCAGTCCAGATGTCTAATTTGAAATGTGAAAGTTGTGAGCTTGCAAAGCATTGTAGAACAACCTATCCTTTAAGTAATAAAAGTAGTATTCCTTTTGAAATTGTGCATACTGATGTTTGGGGATCATATCACATCACTACCATGGGGGGATGCAGATATTTCTTGTCATTTATTCTTTGTTGATGACTATACTTGTTTTTCATGGGTTTACCTTATGCGTTCTCGAGATGAGGTTCCTACCTTAACCCAGATCTTCCATCAGATGGTTTCAACCCAGTTTGGGCTCAAAATCAAAATTTTCAGATCTGATAATGCTAAGAATATTTTGCAAAACCATTGGCTTCATATTTCCTTGACTATGGAATTATCCACCAGACCACTTGTCTCCATACACCTCAGCAAAATGGGGTTGCTAAGAGGAAGAATAGGCATATATTGGAGGTGGCTAGAAGCATTATGCTTAAATCCAATGTACCTATACATTTCTAGGGAGATACAGTTGTCTATCTCATCAACCGAGTTCCTTCACGGGTTCTAGACATGAAAGTTCCATTCACCCTATTATATCTTGATAAAGAATTGTTTACTATTCCCCTTAAGACCTTTGGATGTACTTGCTTCGTTCAAATTCTTGGACCTCATCATTCCAAATTTGATCCTTAAGCCTCAAAATGCATTTTCCTTGGGTATGCACAAACTCAAAAGGGATATTGCTACTATGAACCTACTTCTGGGAAACGATTTGTTTCTATGGATGTCACTTTCTTTGAGGATGTACCCTATTGTCCTAGGGTTTCTTCTTAGGGGGAGAGTAGCGAGGTGGGGACTCATTCATCAGAAATTCCATTACCTGTCCCAATCACTAGAGAGGAGTGTAGTGAAGAGGGTTGCCAAAGGTGCCAGGATTTGAGGGTATGTCACAGGCGGTGGAGGCATGTTGATTTCGGTCATCAACAATCCAGTCCAACTCCAATTCCCTCTATGGATCAGATTCAGGTACCACAGTTCCTTTATCTTCCACGTTGAGCCTTCTCCTCCATTAGATGATCTTGACCTTCCCATTGCAGTCCGTAAAGGGAAACGCCATTGTACCTCATCTACAACTCATTGCATTTCCCAGTTTCTGTCTTATGATCATTTGTCTCCATCCTACAAGTCTTTCTTGGCATCCATTGCTGCTATTCCCATTCCCAGAACAGTGCAGGAAGCCTTGTCAGTACCTGAGTGGAAGGATGTAATGAAGGTAGAAATGGATGCTCTTCTGAAGAACAATACATGGGAGTTAGTTGATCAGCCTAAGGGGAAGAAACCGATTGGGTGTAGATGGGTGTTTACAATGAAGAATAATGCTGATGGTTCCATTGAAAGATATAAGGCCAGATTAGTTGCAAAGGGGTTTACATAGACATATGGCATAGACTACTTGGAGACTTTTGCACCAGTAACAAAGATGAACACTATTAGAGTTTTACTATCTCTTGCAGCCAATTTCTCATGGCCATTATTTCAGATGGATGTTAAAAATGCCTTCCTCAATGGCAACTTGCAAGAAGAGGTGTACATACTTGGTTTGGTATTACATAAGCAGGAAAGAAGGTTTGCCGGCTTAATAAGGCCTTATATGGACTGGAACAGTCTTCTAGAGCCTGGTTTGATAGATTTAGACAAGCTCTTGAAAAACTTGGTTGTGTGCAAGACCAATCAGATCACACCCTTTTTATTAAGAAAGYGGATTCCTCCTTAACCCTACTTACTGTATATGTGGATGATATTGTGGTGACAGGGAGTGATACCTGTGAGATTGACTCTCTTAAGCAACTCCTTCATCAAGAATTTGATGTCAAAGACTTAGGAGAGCTACGTTATTTCCTGGGTATTGAGTAGCACGGTCTAAACATGGGATTTTTGCTTCCCAAAGGAAGTATGTTCTTGATCTTTTGGAAGAAACTAGGAAGCTAGGTGTTAAGACTACTGACACACCTATTGAACAAAATCACAAGATCAGTGCAGAAGGTGGAGAGCCCCTTGAAGATAAAGTTATGTTTCAACAATTGGTTGGAAAACTTCTCTATCTGTCTCACATGACCAGACATCTCTAATGCAGTCAGTGTTGTTAGCCAGTATATGCATTCCCCTAGAACCACTCACCTACTTGTAGTTGAGAGGATAATAGCGCATTTCAAGAGATGTCTAGGCAAAGGTATACTTACTCTTCAAAGAAAATGGTCACATGAAAATAGAAGTTTGCACAAATGCTGACTGGGCTGGATGTGTTGATGATAGGAGGTCTACCTCTAGGTGTTATGCTTTTGTAGGAGGAAATCTTGTTTCTTGGAGAAGTAAGAAACAAAATGTTGTTGCTCGCTCTAGTGCTGAATCTGAATATAGGTCTATGGCGAATGGTGTGGC